TTTACGTTCTTGTGTCCTTTGAAGTTCGTTTAATTTCTCTTGCATTTGTCGTGCTTTGCTTGTTGCTGCTCCACCACATGGGTGACTCCGCATAATTGTCGGGACTTTCACAATTTCCATACACACTTTCATCACTTTCATTCACCTAACGTAATGCAACAGTCGGTTCACAAAAAAACAAGCGCGTACTTCTATGGTGTAAATCTCACATACGTATACGCATTTGCGCGGAGATATTTGTAAAGATCAAAATAAAAGTTACTAGTAATTAATTAAATTATTAATTTGACGTAATAATAATCTATCAAAAACAACTGGATCATTGTAATTTCCTGTTCATCAGTTTGTTGAAATTAAAGTTATGTATGCGTTAAACACATCATCTGATCAACGTCATCCTTCGTAAGAACAAGTCCAAGTCTGTTCGATAGGTTTATTTAATTATCCTTCCCCCTTCTAAGGATTTAATATTGTATTTTTATCTGTTTGAAACTAAATGAATGCACTCATAATATTATTTTCATTGAGTTATTAATAATAAGAAAAATTCTTTGTTGACACAAGTAACACGTAATAATTAATTCTTTTTGTAACACTTAATTTAACACCAACATCTAAATTACATATCTATCTTTCCTCTGCCTACCTTAATCAACCACGCGAGTGTTTGCATGCATGCACGAAGGGTAGGAATAAATATAATATTCGTGGTACATGTATAATAGAAAAGTCATAGAGGTCAAGTTTCTGTAATCGGAAGGCAATCAATTGATTGATGAGAAAAAGCGGAAGGTTATTATTACTGCAAATTTTTGTTATGCGTTAGGCTAGGCATTGTGTGTTTCTAGATATCATTCCGCAAATGCAGTCTATTAAATATATATTAAATGGTGTTTCTATTTTAAGGATAAAGATTTTGTGGTCATGCTTTTTTAGGGCATTATTAAGTATTGTTAAAATAACGATAATAGATAATTCTCAAACATTTTTTTAACAATAACAACAAAAAACAAATAAAGAGATTAACTTCATGTTCTTGTTTGTTTCCCTTACCTTCAGGATTACCCCGCAGTTTTCAGATTTCATCATTGTTCTGCATGTTTAGCTGCTAATTTTGACTTAATTTCCGGTTAATCGTTTCGAAAAGAAAAAAGATATAAATAACGTCAAACTTTGTGTTGCTCCCATCACCCGCTAATCGAATTGAATGAACATACACTGCTGGATAGTTAACTGATTGTCAAGTTTTTTTTTTCCTCCTTTCCGCCTCTCTCTTTAAAGCTGCGAGTCAGCAAAAGCAATCAATCAATCTTCACATCAGCGGTAACCACCCAAATAACGGGCGTAATTTAATTACAAACAAATATATAAAATATAAAATATAAAAAGCTTAGTTTAACCATAAACAGCTACACAAATATATACGCATACATACAACACTCTTCTCGCTCTAACCAAACAGAAAAAAGTTTTTTAAATAATTTTCCCTTTTTCTCTTCAAACTCCTTTTTTCCCTCTTAATTTCGCACACCCACACTCACTTTAAATAAACTGTTTAAAAACTGTTTACTCAACTGAGTTTGTAACTCACTACTACTTACACACCCACCACTGAAATTACATTGGGAAAATACATAGTTCCGCGCGGCGAAAGCATACTCTATCCATAGTTAAGAATGGCCGCACAAATTGCTCAACCACACGTTCAACATCAGTCTTCTACCCATATGATGAAAACTACAAAGTCGGGAAGACCATTCGTCAAGGTTAGTTTAATTCTATACGATATTATTTTTACGGGAAAAGAGCATTACTGATAAAATAATTCAATTATAGGATATTCACGATTTATTTTCCACGTTAATTGTATCATTACCGATGGATAGTCATCGACACATGTTTCGTACCTATCCAAATACATTTACCACAGAAGAGGCGGTGTTGAATTTAAGTTCATTGAAATTCACACAATCAAATCGTACTCCTGATCCAAAAGATCCATCAAGGATAATCACTACCACCACCACCACCACTTTTAGCATGACAAAAGATATGGCAAAGAGTGTGTGTCAGACATTTATGGATGCAAAATTATTCGAACATGCGATCGATACATCGAATAGGGCATTTCGTGATAAAAATCTATATGCATTGACATCAAAAGGGATATACGTGCTGGAAAAATTCGTGAATCGAAATGGAATTATCGCGAATAATTTATCGAAAATGTTTGCATCACATATGTCGCCAATTCGATTATATTTTCTAGAAAGAAATCCCGACAATGATTCAATATTACTGAATAAATCTGCGATCGAGGCGGTCTTTCGACGATTTCTTGGACAATATCCCAATGACATAACATCCAATAATAATAATAATAATAATGCCGAGGTGACATCCGACTCGGCTTCTTCCAATTCATCAACACACGAAAAAGGTGATCGTAACTTAGGGATTGAATTAAAAGATCGGCAGCAGAATCATAAAACATATCGCCACACATTTCATGGACTACCCGCGTTGGATTGGTTATGTGATTTTACCACCGCAATCGCTCGTGAAGAAGCGAGCAAAATTGCTAATGAATTTCTGCGTTTAGGATTAATTGAACCAGTTCCAGATAAGAAATCAGAGAAATCACATGAAATAAGATTCTCACGAAGTACTTTATATCAGGTGACTGATGAAGGTAGATATGTAGCCGGCTGGGATTTCGATTTATCGAATAACCGTAACAATAATGGAACGGAGAAGAATGAAAAGAATGGATTGCGTGGAATGTTGAGTATTGCCAATTTAAATAAGAGCACAGCTGCTGATCATGCTAAGCATAAAAATGAACCCTTTGATCCATCGACGACACCATATGTTCAAGGTCACAAATCGCGTCGAAGTTCAATAAGTGGAAAAGATTTATTCCCCGGAATAATAAAACAAGAATCGAGTACAAAAAGACTTCAACAAATTCTCGAAGATCCAACGCTTTGTTCTTTATTCATGAATTTTGTGAAAGCGAATTTCTGTGAAGAGAACTTGTTATTTTTATTGGACGTAAAAGAGTTTAAATCGAAATACGGACATCAATTGAACGAAGCAGAACAAAAACTTTTAATCTCTGATGCCCTTCAAATTTATAACAAATACTTGGCACCCGTTTGTCCACATGAACTCAATATTGATCATGCTTTGAGACAACAAATGATACAATACATGACCAATAATAACGAAACACAACCAACAACGATCACCCTTGATATATACGATAAAATTGAGGATACAATCTTTCGATTAATGGCCTCGGATTCTATTCCAAAATTTATACGCACCGAGAAATATCTAAATGCGGTGTACGAAAAATCTAGCATAGATGGCGGAAGTAATACGTCATCAGTATCAAGTTCACCTCCAACAAGTTCATCAAATGTAACTGTTAATGGAAGATCAATTACACCTGAACCACACAAACAAAATCATCAACATTTAAAAGAACCATCGATTGAATCATTAGATGGCAGCACCGTTACAAAATCATCATCATCATTATCGTCACTTTCTTCTTCGCCTAAACTTCCCCTTACTCCTTCACCGAAAATTAAACCTTCTGTCGCCACTATTGTAAATCCTGCAGTGAATGGGATTGTATCGGTTTCTTCTATAAATAGGATATAATTTAATATATATATATATAATATCTTTTCAAGTCTGTAAATTTTTTAATATCTATCAATAACACACACACACATATATATATAAATCATTAATTATTAATTACCTATATATTATTGTATTTTTTTCCCAAACAAAATTTGATTATTATTTTTCTTTGAACCTGGTTAATTTATTAACTAATTAGTTAATTATTTAATTTACCTTTAATTTCTTTCAATCATAACATATACACTCCAATACTACCCCTTCACACACACATACACACACACACTATACAAATTGTAAAATTAATCTGTTTCATATATATTTTTTATATATATTTCATATATTGTATTGTTTTCTAATACTAATAAATTAATAATGGCGGCGCACTATGTATTGTTGGTAAAATCGTCTTTTGATTTGACATTTAACTGCATCTTCATATGTGTTGAAACTTAATCTGATCAAAAGTTTATTAGAGCATGTAACACAGCAAAAATAAGCGATATCTGATATGGGAAAAAATATTTATCCTGCACGTGTGATTTTTCGAGTCAGACAATGGGGCAATTATTTTTGGATTAGTGAATCCATGGTAACGGGTCATTATTCTTTAGGAAAAATTTAGCCACGATAACATTTTCTGGTTGGAGCGTCCGCCACACACACGTTATCTCGGCCGTGCCGTGATGCTAAATCTTTGCGGCACGGTTACGATTGATCCCTTTTTCGGCAGCAGAATAACATGTTTATTTAATTCTCCTTTTTCACTAGTCTATGGTGCGGCTGGTTAAGATAGTTCAAGAGAATCGCACACTGTAGATAAAATAAGAATAAAGGAAGACGAAGACGAAACCAAAACGTCATAAGAATGGCGACTACGTATATTCGTCCTCAGCCTCAAAAGCGCGTGAAACTCGTGTCAACTTGTGATAATTGTAAGACTCGCAAAGTAAGATGCGACAAGGTGCGTCCTTCTTGCGGTGCATGCACGAAGACCGCTCGGAACTGTAGCTATGTGTATTCCGCACACTCACAAATGCTTCGAGAGAGTGGAGGTGGTGGAGCAGCAACAAGCAAAGCACGACAAATGCAAGAGAAATTAAACGAACTTCAAAGGACACAAGAACGTAAA